AAATCTGCTGGTTTCAGACAGGTAAATGCATTTTTTATGCATTCACAATGGTATAACCCATTATAGGGGTGGTCAAATGTATATTTATAACCTGTATCATTTTAATTATTAACCTTATTATTATAAAGTGAACTACTCAGCATTAAAAGGTTGATCACTCCTTTCACCCCCGTCCCCTCCCATACTTCATGTTTTGACATCCTTCAGGGGGGAAAAAAAACATTAAATGGGGGGCCAATTCACTATTCACTATTATTCAATAATAATTTGTCTTTGCTATGAAGAGTACACATTTAATTAGTTATTTTTTATTTAAACATTGTTAATTAATTAAGCAAATCACTGGACTGGTTTGTTCTGTAGCTAATAGGAATAAAAATGCTGAAGGGGGCTTATAAAATTATATTATATTTCTTCTAAAACTGCGTTTATTCCGGCCAAACTAAAATGCATACAATTTTTTTTCCAGAAGAAAAAAATATTTTAGAGCACACTGAAAATTTCCTTGATTTGTTAAACAACTTTAGAAAATAAAAACAAAAAACGAAGATGAAAAAAGAACCAATAAAATGTATTTATTTATTTTTTTTAGAAAACAATTGTAGCCCCGGGGACCATAAAATATATTTTGGAAAATAATAATAATAATATTTAAAAAGTTTAAATGGGGGGGATGTAATTCAAGCAATTCAAGTTCAAGTGTAACATCCCGTGCAAACACTAGAGGGCGAAATAAACCTACACAAAAGTAAGCAATCCGTTTGATGTACGTGTATTTGAGCTAAAACGAGCCTTTGAGGTTTATGGCGCTTTTGTAGTGGCGATTGAGACAGAATATTGATTCTTTGACTGGAATCTCCATTCTATTCTTATAGTCATGCACTACTGACCTTCTTTTGTGGGGCAAACTAGGGCAAAGAAAGTCGCAGCCAAGTGCTTGGATACGGTCTCATTTGAATCACTTTGTGAAATTAACAGGTATGTGCACATGAGAAAATGACTTTGTGAAATTAATCTCTGCCAATTGAATTAAGATGTTAATGAACTGCACGGAAAAGGACATCTAGCCTACTTGTTTTGCTACGGAGCAGATTCAAAACATGCAAACCTCAATGCAAAGAGAAACCCAACAATCCCCCCACATTTACATAAGATTCAAAGCCACTATTAAAAACAAGCATAAAACAAAATTTAGCTTTGCATGTTAAATGGACACAGATAAACACCTAACTGATATTTTAAGGCAGTGTGTCTCAACCACGTTCCTGGAGGACCACCAGCACTGCATGTTTTAGATGTCTCCTTTGTCTGTTACACCCATTACAGGTCTTTCAGTCTCTGCTAATGGACTGATGATCTGAATCAGTTATGTTTGGTTAAGGTGCCATGGAAAATGTGCAAAGAAAGTGGTCCTCCAGGAACATGGTTGAGAAACACTGTTTTACAGCACGTTTAGGCATCATAGAAGAATGCTTTGGACATTAGGATCACGTTAAAGCATGTGTCAAACTCAGTTCCAGGAGAGCTGCAGCTCTGCACAGATTAGTCCTAACCCTAATTAAACACACCTGATCCAACTAATGAGTCCTTCTGGCATGTTTGAGACCTACAGGCGCTTGTGTTGAGGGAGGGCTGGAGCTAAGCTGTGCAGACAAACAAATATATATTGGCTGATAGCTGTGTGATATTCTGCAATAACAGCACTAATACAGCCTCTTCACCCTTGTGTATTACTCGACAAGCAGAAGAATAAGCTCACTACAGTTTGACAAATATTGCATCTGTTGGACAACATAATGTGCTTTTGAGGCTTTTTAGGCAAGAACATAGTTGTTTACATTGCAACTATGCAGTTTATTTATAAGGAAAGTGCCTATTATAAAGCCTTTAGAGATACAGCGCATCAGCATCCATGTGATATTGCTCATATATATGGAGCAGTTCGATATAGCTGCAGGTTGAGTGCCTTAAAGTGTCCCACCAATGATAATATACACCCATATCGCACTGCTACAAGTGATATTGCATTTATATAACTGTTCGATGGCATCAAACATATTTGAGAACCAGACAGAACTGATAAAGTCATTATTTTGTTTTATGTGTGCACAAAAAATATTACTGTGGCTTGATAATATTCAGATATAACCATTAAAGGTGCAGGGTTTGTTTTGAGGATGTTTTTTGTTACCTTTTAAGACTTTAGATGAGGCGGTAACCTGGCAGTCAGTTTATGGAGGATGAGGAAGCTCTCAGATTTCACCTACAATACTTTGTATTCTGAGGATAAACAAATTAATACCAGAATTGTCTTTTTTGGGTGAACTCTTTAAATGTGTACTTAGAAAAACATTCAAACTTTGGGACAGTGATAAATAAGTAAGTAAAACAGCAAATATAAAGTCAGTGAGATGTTTCTTAACTGTCACTCTAGAGGTCTAGATACAATGTATAGTCTAATACTCCATTCTACTTCATCGGTTTGTACCAGGGATAACACTTCCTGTCTCCATGCACGCTTTATACTCCACATGTCAGTTGATTCAGTGCCAGTCTAGTGCCCGGTGTGTTGGCCTCAATAGGGCTTTGTAAGCACTGCCATCCTGGTCTCTCGACCCGCCCCCAGGCAGCTATTCATGGGTTCCCATGATTCCGCCTAGTTGGCTCTGATACAATACGTGTCTGTCAGTGGCACCTCATTGGCATGCACTGGCACACGCTCACAGGCTGTGTCTCAACCAAGTGTGCCCACTCACTTACTGTGCTTTCCAGAGACGTTGAATCCAAAATGGACAACGATTTGAACTTTCAAAACTGCTCTAAATAAAGTCAATTCGATTTAAATTTTTTTTTTTTTTACAAATTTATTTAATTCTTTATTCATTGATTTAATAATTATTTTATTTATTCATTTAATTATTAATTTCATGAATCATTTTACTTAATATTTTAATTCTTTAATTATTCATGTAATTAATCATGTTTTATTTAATCATTTATTTATTTATTTAATTAATCATGTTTTATTTATTCATTTAATTATTTATTTAATTAATCATTTATTTAATCATTTAATTATTCAGTTAATTAATCATTTATTTAATTATTTAATTGATAATTTATTTAATTATTTATTCATTTATTTAATTATTTAATCATTTAATAGTTCAATTCATTTATTTAATCATTTATTTTGTATTTAATCATTTATTTAATAATTGAAAGCATTTATTTAATCATCTATTTATTTTTTCTTTTATTTATTTATTTAATCATTAATTTATTTCATAATTTATTAAATCATTTATTTAATCAGCACGTCATGGTGGCGCAGTGGGTAGCACGATTGCCTGACAACAAGAAGGTTGCTTGTTCGAGGCCCGGCTGGGTCAGTTGGCATTTCTGTGTGGCGTTTGCATGTTCTCCCAGTGTTCAATGGGTATTTATTTATTAATTCCATTTATTTAACTCTCTATTTAATAGCTTATTTAATAATTTATTCAATCATTTAGGCATTTATTTAATTACATTTTTTAAATCATTTATTTATTTTTTGATCATTTATTCATTTAATTAATTTAATCATTTATTTATTTAATCATTCATTTTATCATTAAATCAATTATTTAATCATCTATTTATTTTCTTAATCATTTATTCAATCATCTAATTATTGATTCAATTATGTATTGATTTATTCAATAATCAATTTATTCAACATGCATTTATTTAATCATTTAATTATTTAATTATTAATGTATTCATTCAATCATTTATTTAATGAACTATTTAATAATTTATTTAATCATATGTTTATTTAATCATTTTATCTATTTATTTATTTAATCATTTATTTATTTAATAAAAGTAATCGTTCATTTATTCAATCATCTATTTAGTTATTATTATTATCATTATTATTATTATTACACATTTTCTAAAACGTTTACAATATAACATTTAACAACCATATAGAAAAAGCAGTATGGAAAATGTATATAATAAGTGGTTTTCAGAGATGAATTCAAAGCATGTTTATACACATGTAACCAAGTTATGACATGCATATAATATAACATGACTTCAACTAACCCTTTAGTAGGGCTTTTTTATTACATTGATATTTTTATATTATATTACTAATAATTTCCCAACCGTTTATGCATTACAGGACACATCTGATATCAAACTGTCATATATATTACTATACTGAACAACTAAGAGCATCCTCGTGTGGTATATTTCTAAATTACTTATGCCAAATAGAGACACTGTTATATGTAACCATGTCATGTATGTTTTATGATATATTTTATTTATCTCCAGACGGTTTATGCATCATAGAATACATCATATCCCACGTTAAATTACATGCTAATTTACATGTTAAATTACATGTTAAATTACAAATAAACTTATCCATTCATTCACCAAACACGAACAGCACCCTACAGTGAATAATAGTGCATGAACAAACACTTACAGTGTATAAATATCACATGATATTAAATAACATTATATACACACACTTATCATTCATTCTCCAAACTACAAAGAGCATCCTATAGTGATAGTTATATTACATTACGTTATGCTTTCGATTCTATTATATGGTTGCAGGCATATTATATTGTTAATCATATTATTAAATAAAATTATATGAACACTTATCCATTCATTCTTTAAACTAAAAAGAGCAACAGTGATATGGTTGTATAACTTGTGTTGTAATATACTTCCTATTATATTCTTTAATAGCCAGTAATTAAAATATATTTATATATATATATATATATATATATATATATATATATATATATATATATATATATATATATATATATATATATATATATATATATTTAATAGCCCAAAAATAATAATAATAATAAAAAACATCACCTCCCCCCTACAGCATCCGCATCTCTCCCAATACCCCCCAACCCTCCCTCCCTCTCTGTATGTGATGAAGGGGGAGGGACCAGCTCGTGTCGTGTCGTGGGCTACGTGCACAAACCACATCCACCACCAAAATCCTCAATCGACCACCACATGCAGTCGTATATGAGGAGCACACACAAACTTCACTCTAGTCTCAAGACGCCCGTGGATCGCTTTTACTTTCTGTTTGCGTGCAGCGGTGAACTCCCAGCTCGCGATGCCTCTGTTTATGTAGGCTTGTGTTGATATGTTAATAACGCGCTCGGATTTATGCTGATTAAAAGACGTGACTGATTTATTTATGGTCGCTCCTTAGAATAAAGTAGAGGTTTTGCATCGCGGAGGCGCTGAATTTGAGCCTTTTCCCATCAGTTTTGGGGTTTGTGATCGAGCAGGAGGGAGGAGTGGCGGAGAAACGGCTGGTGAGTCCATAATACTACACCTCCACATGACACCATAAATAAATACAGATATGTGCTGGATCATAAACAGACATTCATCCTTGGCTGTGTTTTATTCTTGAAGTGCACCGATTAAAGCTCAAAACTTAAATTAAACCTTACATGGCATGAACTGAGGTCCTGTAACGTTATAGATTCCGTTATCGGTGTGCGAATTGTGAACGAGTCACTTGAGTCGAATCTTTATTATGGTTCACTCGATCAGTTTCGTTAAACCGGTCTGTTCAAATCTTAGCAAATCCTGGGGAATCGGTCCTTGTGGTATTTAACCAAAAATAGCGGACTTATTTATTTAATTGTGAACTGAGTACTTTATTAATAGAGCGAAAGCTATGGAATTTACTTTAAAAAAATTTAAATATATAACACAAGGGGAAACTGGTCAGGTAAATGTAAGATTCATTTAACATTAATGTTTATTTAATGTAAATACAAATGACAAATGAAGCCTAAGAGCATAATTGAGTAGGCTACACCCTAGCAGAAATCAGAAAGTCTCGATTTTAATTAAATGATTTCTGTGGGAGTTTGTCAAATCTGGTTTATTGGTTGTTGACTACATTTGATTTGTCAGGCAAGATCAAATTGATCTTAAAATAGCCTAATTTAAGATTGTGGTGTTTTAAACGTTAAGTTTGAAATGTAATTAACACGAATAATAATAATAATAATAATAATAGTATTATTCTATTTTATTTATCCAAAATATATGTTAAGAAATACATTTCGTATGTTAAAAATAAACATATTGCTATTTAATAGGTCTATACTCTAATATTTATTTTGTTGCCTACATCATTTGTACACACTGTGAACGGTTTTACTCTGTTAGCACTAGGATGTCGACTGCTGGCTATAGGCCTATTGTAACTGGCGGTTATTAATGGGGGGGGGGGGGGGGGGTGGCAACAGAATATAATATAATTCGCTTACATAAGTCTTTACTGAAGCATGTTACACGCTGAATGTCTAGGACCACGGGCCAACACAATTACGTCATGACGCAAAGAACGTTGAATCTTTTTTTGAACTGTTCAAACGAATCGATTCAGAGTGGTTCTTTTCGTTACAGTTGCACATAGCGGAATGGCTAGTACGCCAATTCGTCTTTCTCAAAGCTTATAGTTGCGGCAAATGGCGTGATGTTTACGTTATTTATGATTAGACATATACTGCTTTTACAAGCAGTGAGCATTTTATGTGTAGAGATGGCCAACACACAAATACAGCGATAGAATAACCGAAGTGAAGAATCCAAACATGGTTTAAATCTGAATCCAATTTTAAGCGTCTTTGCTTTCGGATTTGAGCAGTATTGAGGCTATTTATCTACTGTGTGTCTCCCACAGTCTCCCACAGCGACTAGCTCTTTTTTCTTTCAGTTTTTTTTTCTTCTGAATGCTCGTTCATTCATGTGTGGTGTCAAACTTCTCAACGTCATCATGACAATACATGGAAGCGCGCGCAGAATGTTCGAGAGCACACGCCAGCTGGCCTGACCCCAGCTGTTTGTTTACCACGTGCTTCTCTTACACAATGTAAACACAAAAGTAATCGGTGCACTTCTCTAGGAGCTTCAGTGCTGGAGAATGTTTAGTTATGATGCACTGGCACTAGATTTTGCCTTAGGAATGGGATATTTACATGACATAATGCTCAAAGTTTCATACAGTAATGTGCAGGCGAAAATGCACGTTAGCCTAAAGTAAATCAGATTTAGGGTGTGTTCACACTTGGCATGCTTGGTTTGATAAAAAATTTATAAATATAAATTTTATTTATTAAACATACATTTTTGCAATTGTGTCAATGCAATTTCTTTGAAAAGGTGTGGTTAGTGTAGCCTACTTCTAAACTCTGATCTTTCTCATCATAGTCACATTGTAGCCCATTGTAGATCAAAACAGCAATCTGAAATACATCTCCTTATGGGAGATTTTCATTTGCTTGTGTTATGGGGAATTCCCGGCACTCATTTGACTGTCCATTTTTAACAGATTTTTACATGTTCTCATATACATGTACCAACAATGGCACATTTAGCCCACTTCGGAACATTACTTTGAATGTTTGGCAAGTTCAGTTGGAAATTGCATCATAAAATCTGCTATTTAGATTCATATCTTTACATTTGGTCTTGAAAATGAATGTAAAACCTTTTTTGGTCTGGACTAGGGCTGGGGGATTAATCTATTGTGGTTTTCATGCACATTTGTCAGCAAAGCCAGTTGTAGTAAACCTCCAGCATCTGCTTTTAGATGGAGCCAATAACCTCATCAGAAATTGAAATCAATTTAATTGGATGATAATGACACAGAGATAAATCACTGATTTTGTAGCATCACCTCGAATGAGGACTCTGTGTTATAAATTCTGCATGTGAAAAACCACATAGAACTTTATATTTATCCCATACTTATTTTTGAAGCAACTTCAGTCGAATGTTTGAAACAAATACTTCTGAGATGTTTCTGTAGTGTGCAGTTATTTTTCATGAATAAAGGTAAATAATCGGTTTATAAGGCAATGCTAGGAAGATATCTTGGGTTTCTTCATTGGAGGTTTTTGGAGTTTCTGTGCAAGAGTAACCTCTGGCTTTCGGAGGAGATTTACTACTGATCACAGAACCGTCGTTCTTGACAACTGCATCTTAGCTCAATCACATTTGTTATTCAATTTCAATTAATCGCCCAGCAGCGCTAGTCTGAACAAAATGAAGCAAAGGAACTGAGCTACAAGTGTGAGCACATCTTTAGACAGTTAGCATGAGACACATTTCATTACCCAACAACCTTTTTTAATTTACACATTTGCATATAACTAAACATGAAAAGTCATTCAAAATGTCATGGAAAGAAATTCATTTACTTAAACTGCATCGCTCACATCACCAAGCAGGCAGGTCTGGTCTCTGGTGTAATAAACGGTGTGTATGCATGCTGTTTTTCAGTCTAGCTGGCTGAACGTCATGTACTGCATGTAGCAAGAATTAATCAGGAATTTGTTTTTGTGCACAATGTCCAGAGATGTCAATTTGCCTTATGCCATCCTGGCCACCTAATAGTAGACAATGAAAAGAACAGCCTCCTATGGTGAAGAGGTCAACAGTGTGACCTTATGTGCAGCAGTACTCGAAAACTATAAATATTTGCCTACAGCTCACTGATGAAAGCAGGTTATTCATGGGCAATTGAGCCCCAATTCCATCTGTTTCCACTCTGTGTTTATTAATATTCAAACATGGTGACATTTCAAAACCAAAGGGCTTATTTCTGAAGTTGATGTGATTTGTAATCATGTACAGAATGCTTGTATGTTACTGTGTGCTTATGACTAACATAAATTCAGCTTTGCTTTAACTTTGAGGTTACTTAACATGCAAATGAGCTGCTGAGCAGCCTGTCTTTGAGTCGTGCATGATGCTAATGAAGAGTTTTACACATGCCAGACATGACTCATAGTTAATTCCGAGCCTAATTATTTCTTTCTGTTCATAAGACCGGAAATTGCTTTATTCAGGTAGAAACATACCCTGGATAGTGAGGCGATTCGTCATCAGCTGGATTTGCATGTTTGTTCGCCTCAATTTTTGAAAAAGAAAAAGATTATGTAACTTTTAAGGACACAGATGTGAATTAGTCATCATGTTTTGCAGGCTCCTGAGTTCTGAATCCTGCCTAAAACCCACAAAGATGATATATCTGCCAGTGTAAGTGTTAACATAATGCTTTACAACATCTTTAATAGCTCAAGTTGTCTAGTCATTTAACTGATCACCAAACCGCAGCTACAGACATTCTGAAAAAAGAAAACGGCCACGATAATTGATCGCTCAGCTCAGCAAGTTGCTCATCTTCATAATGTCTCAAACTGTTCTTGCATCAACAGCTTGTAAGTCTCTCTAATGAACAGTTGCTCCAGCATTTCCGGTATCTGCTGGTTTTACAGACCCATTGAAAGAGAAATCACTCTCTGCTGTTTAAAAAAACACCAATTCTCCTGCAAAACATAGTTGTTTACCACTAATTCTGTATCGAAGGGTTATATTGTGGATATTTGTGTGCATACATGGCCACCCATTTAACACATGATGAGACCAAAGTAAGATTAGGGCAAAAATCATTCAAAGTTGTTTATGAGAGTCCTGTGGGGAACGTCGGCTGAGAGGGTAAATTAGGGGCAACAGCTGCTGGTGTCACTTCTACAACTTGTTTGTAACATCTCATGTTACAGTTTAAGCTCACAAGACAGGGCACTTGCCCTCTTACATAGATTTAGGATCATGAAGCCCCTTATAAAATTGTCGGCAGATCTGTTCTCAGATCAGCATAACAAGCCAGCTTGCACTTAGTTTCAGCAAAGCAAAGCATTTGAGAGAAATATTGCAAGACAGGCTATTTATTCGCATGCACCACATTCATCATCGTTCCGGACATATAAATCATATCTTCTCTCTTATAGTGCTTAGTCAGCACTACGTATTCCCATTGACCCAGAAATGAAAACTCTGTCGTCGTTTACTCACCCTCATGCTGTTCCGATTTTAAACCCATGTGAAGTTCTTCTGTGGAAAGCAAACAAACAAAAAAAAAAGGTTCATCATTTTTGTCCTGTCTGATTCCTCACTTACAGCTTTGCTTTTCTCTAACATGGATTAATTTGCTGTCAGAATAACACTATTGCCCTGAATTAAACACTATAGTCTCACTGCCCAGTCACACTCTAAACAACGTGCCTTATGTGATTTAGGCCCCGTTTACACTAGTGCGTTTTAGTTTTAAAACGGCGTTGTAGAATGAAAACGATCCGCGTCCACACTCGCGTTTTACCCAGCGTTTCTGAACTGCTCTCCGTCCACACCAAAACGCTGAAAACGCACATCACGTGACCACACACACACTCTCGGGCAAGCGCTCCAGCATTTCTACCCAGATGAGAGCTCTGCTTGTCGGACTGCTCATCACGCATCTCCCGCTGGAACTAATCTCACTATATTTGCTAAACGTGATATTTCATTCATGTTGTTGTCTTTATCTAACGACAAAGGCCAATTCCCTGACTTTGGTCATTGACATCTATTAAGTTACTTGTTCACGGGTAACATGTTTTGGTTAAGCGCAAAGATAAGTTAATAATTAATCCAGGTACATTGACTGATCGCTCGTCTTTATTTCCTACAATGTATAAACTTATTGTATGTTATACTTTTATAATTATCGATTATTAAAACTGATATTCAGCAAAAGAGAGGGTGCGTTTCGTATTTTCACTGAAATTGAAAGGAGGCAGTCGTTATCGGCTCCGTTTTGTTATAAATATCCACACAGTGAAGATGACGCTCATATATGCAGCAGGACGCCTCAACATTTCTGCTGTCTGTTAAGTTGCTAATATTAAAAAGAAAATAGGCAGTTCCTTAAATCATGTTTACATTTTATTGTTGAGAAAGTGAAACAACGTAGCCAAAGTGATGTGAATGAAGTTATAAAGTACACTGTTCCCTTTGAAGATTTACCCGTGTCCTCGGTATAGTCTGTTTTCCATATCAAACTGAGAAGGGGGAGACTGCAGCCTTGATCAAACTTGCGAAGTCTTAACTTACAAGAAGAGGATGCGAGACTGAACTGTGTGTGGGCTACTTAATATTGAGGAAAAGCCCCAATCAGATAGGCGAACGGGGGAGGCAGCCCCGCCTCCGTTTTCAGATGTCTCCGTCTTTCCCCATCCACACTGAGACGGAGCAGCAGCGTTTTAGAATGAAAACGGCCTCTCCAGCGTTTTCAAAAAGCTCCGTTTTCGGCGCTCGAGAACTCCGGCGTAGTGTGGACGGATGGCGTAACCGTAGCAAAACTTATGCGTTTTCAAACTAAAACGCACTAGTGTAAAGGGGCCTTAGATAGTAGTGATTGTTGCACTGATACAATATACACTGTAATAAATGCGGGGTTCAACATTTTGTCCCTTTATGTTGCCCTAAATGCAAATTAAGGCCCCATTTACACTAATACATTTTAGTTTTCAAACAGCGTTTTAGAATTAAAACGATCCGTGTCCACACTGACGTTTTACCCAGTGTTTCTAAACAACTCTCCGTCCACCCTACACTGCAGAAAACACACATCACGTGACCACACACACACTCAGGCATGCACTGCAGCGAGGAGAGCTGTGTACGTCGGACAGTTCATCAAGGATCTACCGCTGGATCTAATGGCTCGTTTCCACTGACTGGTACAGTACGGTAAGGTTCAGGTCTGTACGGGTCACCTTTATCAGGCTTGCGTTTCCACTAGCAAGGGTACCCTTTTGGTGGGCGTAGTGTATGACAAAGTTTCAGTCGACGTCATGCTCGCTCGAGAAAATGTCTACAATAAAGCTGCACAGGTCGCTCACATATCATATGAAAAGCACTTCTCTCAAAACAGACGTTTTACACACATAAATATTTCTGTATTAATGGTTATTACTAACCTTTCTATGAACATGATTTGATTATAACTGCAGATCAATAGCAGTGCGAAATAGCCTAATGTAACGTCTGTAATTATTTTAAAGAAATAAATAAATGCAACATATATGAACACATACAGACCCTTAAAGTCCTTGATATGTTACCAACTACAGAAAAAGTACACACAGTTATTATCATCAGCTCAAGAAGTTAGTTATTTCAGATATAGGCGCGCGGCGAGCGCAAGTAATCTCTCGCTGTGTATTTCAAACATGGCGAGTCCTTTGTTTACATTCTGGCTTGTTGCGCAAGCGAATGACATATCTCTGTAAACCAATAGCGTTCAGCTGTGCGTCTAGCTCCGCCTTTTGGTACCCTTTCTTGTGTTTGGGACCCTTTCGAAAGGATGCCGAAAAAGTGGTACGGTACGGTTTGGTACGCCTTTTGACAGTGGAAACGGCCATAAAAGCGTACCAAACCGAACTGTACCCTACCGTACCACTCAGTTTTGTCTATCTAACAACATATATGTACACACCCACTATACATATACACTTGTAATCATGCTTATTTATCTGCATACTACTGATTATTAATAGCAACCTGTACATATATTCATATATTGTTACATATACTTTTGTAATCATGTTTATCTATCCCTGTACATATATTCATATATTGTAACATATACACATGTAATCATGTTCATCTATCTCTGACATATATTCATATATTGTAACATATACACATGTAATCATGTTCATCTATCCCTGTACATATATTCATATATTGTAACATATACACATGTAATCATGTTCATCTATCCCTGTACATATATTCATATATTGTAACATATACACTTGTAATCATGTTCATCTATCTGCACACTACTGATTATTAATAGCAACCTGCACATATATTCATATATTGTAAATCTGTTCATAGCTTATCCAACCTGTATATAATGTTCATAGTACATCCATCCCATCTGTAAATATCACCATAGTTTTCTATAACTGCACTTTATAACTTATTCCTGTATCCTGCACTTGCTGCTATTGCACTGCTGGTTAGACCTAAACTGCATTTCGTTGCATTGTACTTGTACATGTGTAATGACAATAAAGTTGAATCTAATCTAATCTAATCTAATATTCCCAACTTTGGTCTTGTGAATATATTACTTGTTCTCAGGTAACATGTTTTAGCTGAGCGCAAAGATAAGTTTATATTATATTATATTATATTATATTATATTATATTATATTATATTATATTATATTATATATTATTTAATGTAACCGCGTACACTGATTCTGCACATTTGACTGATTGCTTGTCTTTATTTCCTTTATTGTATAAACTTATTGTACGTTATACATTTAAAATGGCCATTATTGGTTATTAAAACTGAAAATGAAAGGGAGGCAGTTATCTTGTAGGCTCCGTTTTGTTATAAATATGAATTCAGTGAAGATGACGGTCATATAAATATGTAGCTACACGAAGCCTCAACATTTCTGCTGTCTGTTAAGTTAAGCATTTTTTCAGTTTCAGTTTTTAGGACTGAAACTGCATACGTTTAAAAAAAGGGTGGAGGATTTTAAAAACAAGGTTGTGGTGTCAGTGTAAATAACTAAAAAGTCTTTGAAAAGAATGGCATCATGCGTCATGCACATCATAGTACACGTTTAGGAAATTGTAGATTAAAGACAAGCTCAAACAAACATACACAACAATGGTGGAGAATGTGGTAGTTCCTCTTAAAATATTTAGCTACTAATATATACTTTTGAGGTACCAAAATGGACCCTTCTAGTACAAATGTGTACCTTTAGAAGAGGTACCACCCCAGTGACAGATTGCGTACCTTTATTTCTGAGAGTGCACACTGCAAATAATACATAGATATGAGACGGCATAAGGTCACTTCCCTACAGGTACTCTTTACTAACAAGATGACTGCAGCAAATACTGGCCTGGCATTTGTAATACAGAGTTTTTGGCCATTTTTGTTTGTTGTTGAAAAGGTTGTGGTGTAGACCTGAATCTTTTTTAAAAAGGCATGGAGAAAAAAAATATATAACTTTTAGATGCATCATTGTCATATAAACAGTTTAAATGTGATAACATCCAATGACAATTAGCCAAATCATCAGGACTTCCTGTAGAAATATGACCTTAAAATTAGTCTTTTTTTTGTATTAAATACTGTAAATATTATTATACTGTAAATATTATTAGCAGTCTTTGTTAAC